TAAAAAGATTTTTTGAAATGACCATCAGAGCATGAGATTTCCTATATTATTATTATTAACACGCTCTGATGCTATGGAGTTCTACTCCCCCTCCAAAGCTGGAAAAAAAGAAATCTCTTCCAAATACAAAACACAAGCAGAGGAGAGGAGTTTCAGTCTCAGTTTCACAGCACCAAGCAGCTTCAGTACAGAACAGTTGAGCTAAGCTACACCTAGGTTCCTTACTGTCTCCTTCCTTGCTCACACAGCAAATACTGCTTCAGTTTCGAAAAAGCCCTCAACTCTCTCACACACTGACCGGATGATAGCCAGGTGAATACTGATGTACCACTCGTCCATTGCCAGAGCAGTAGAATCTTTCCAATGTTGACTATATAGGAATTTTACTGCTGTAACCAAATATAAGATTAATGTACCATGGTTTTGTTTTTTTTTCTAGAATTTGTCCATCAACTCTAATAAAAAATAATCTCTGGTCTAAATTGTATTTGAATTAATATATACATTTCTCAAGGAACGTGTTTTGTTGATCCTCTTAAGAAAAATGAAAGCTGAACCCATGAACTGTGGTAGAAGGTGCCTGCAAAACAATTCCCACGATAAAATAAATGGAGATGAATTGTAAGAACACGAGTAGCTAGCCCTTGCATCTTTCTAAAGAGTAATTTTATTTAAAATTAAAATAACAATAGAAATTAATGCAAAATAAAACAAGGAAAGGAAAGAAAAATTAGAAGGTGCGGAAAAGAGAAAAGGGAACAATAGAAACTGTGTCCTTGTGGTCTCTTCATGAGGAACAACTATCTGGAGTACATGTGGGTGATCTCAAATCCTCTCTTAATCCAGGGAGGAAATATTGAAGAGCTGGGCTATTCACCAGCTCTTCATTCCACCAAAATCATCAGCTTCCCTTTTCATGGAACAATCTTCACTCCATTTCTTCCCCAAAGTTCGAAGTAGCTTTTATGGGGAAGACAAATTCTCCAAGAATTTCTTTTTCTCACTGTGGGCCTGGCATCTGAATGACTCTCAAGGAACCTGCCAGCAAATGCCCTACCTTTCTTCTAGAATCCAGAACCTGGTCTAGATGTGTTGGAAGAAAAGATGGTTTGCAAGGGTTGAAAGATATGGAGACCTATCACAAATGTCGAAGTTGTCAATTGCTCTGTCTTTCTCTTTCTCTTATCTCCTCCCTTTAATACCTTCTTTGTCTCTTTCTCATGGATTCTCTGCAGGTCAGGGATGAAAAGTGGGATGGGTGAAATAAGGGGTCAGCCTAGAATAGCCACAAATGAATTAAGTCCAACTCCCCTCCCACTTCTGATTGTGTTGACCCTTATCTAACTCTGCGTGTTGACCACTAGTTGAGAAGATTCCCATGCATAGACTTTGGGGAATACACCTGTCAAATCGAACCTTCACAAATGGACCTGGCACAATCCACTGGAGCCTTTTCAGTTTCAGGAGTGGCTGGGAAGAGCCCAGCAGTAGCTTTGGCTGCATTTATTCATTCGTTCGTTCCTTGATTAATTAATTCATGGGTCTAATTCATTTAGTGATTCATTCATTCATTGATTCATCCAATACATTTTAGGCATCTCCAAATCCACCTGAACCTGGGCAGTTCACAATATAAAACAATACGTTGTGGAATTTTCTGCGCCTGGTGTCCTCCAAATACTGTAGGTGTCCAGAAGAATTATGTCTTCAATCCTTAGCCTATAATATCCTCTTATAATATAGACAAGAAGTGTCTATTTCTCTTTCTCTCTCACTCTCACATCTATCTATCTTCTTTCTCTGTATTAGGGAGGCAAGTTCAGACATAACAGGAAGTGTTTATCTCTATCCACCCATCCGTCCATCCATCTGTCCATCTGTCCATCCTTTCATCTATACACCCATCTCATTGACTCACTCAATGACCCACCAACTCATCCATCCACATATCTATCCACCACTCATCCCTCCATTTCTCCATGCATCTAACCATCCACCCACCCATCTACTCAATAACCTACTAACTCATCCATCCATGTATCCATGTATCCATGTATCCCTCCCTCCCTCCATCCATCCACCAACCCATCCACTCAATAACCTACCAACTTATCCATCCATGTATCCATCCATCCATCCATCCATCCAGCCAGCCAGCCAGCCAGCCAGCCAGCCAGCCCCTTTCTCTATAGTTTAGATGTGTGAATTTTGAGAAAAAGAATTCACATAAACTTGTAAAAAGGATGGCCATTCTCTAGTCCTCCAGATTTGTTTGACATCAACTGCCCTAATTCCCCGCCTGAACATTTTTAGCAGAGGGTTGGGCTCGTGAGGGTCTATAATGAATCCCTTGAGATATTCTGGAGAAAAGGAGTCTGAGGGTCATTCGTCGATTGCTTCTTCATAGCAAAGCAGAGGTGAGGACCTTCCTTGCATTTCTCATGGATGGATTGTGACGGCAAAGAATTGGATTGCACCCTCCGTGCGGTGCTTGTTTGGGCACACAAACCCACAATGAGGTCCCTTAACCCTCATTTCATCCTTCCAGAAGGACAGACCAATTACTGTAACTAACTCTCTCTCTCTCACCAATGCTGGTTATTCCCACCAGCAGCACCTTCTCATGTACTTCATGATGATGCACTTACATCATTCCAGGCAAACTTTATTAAAGTTTATTAAATTTATGTGCCATCCATCTTCTTGATAAGGCCATGCGTCTCGGCCTGGGGCTCTGGATATCTTGGCGTCTCATTTTTGGGGGGCTGTATGGATATTAATTATGATCATTTTCTCAGTGGCTGCATAGATTTATTTTCATAGAATTTTTAACTGTTTTAATAGTTGTAGAATTGTTCACGGACCAGACTCACTGGGTTGAGATGAGCAGCTATAGAAATAAATCCAGGTCTTTCTAATTAATTTTTAGAATTGTTTACTACCCAGAGCCACCGGGTTGAAATGGGCAGCTATAGAAATGAGTTAATTAATTTATAAAAATAAATAAATTTCATTTGCAAATTCAATATCTGCAACCACCAGGTACTAGGGGTGTATTTCAAGACAGTATTTTTAGCCTTTTAGCTAGGGTATATAAATATGATTGTGCAACAAAAATAAAAATAAAAAAAATACTCACAAAAATCCTATTTATGTTACTCACTCTTTTCTCCCCAAACGTAGTAAGCTTAGGGCATTGCGGGCACACATCAAAGGACGTTCTCCTTAGAGCACTTTTCTTTCCAATTGTGTTTGGCTTCGCTTCCCCCTCCCCAAGCAAGTCATAGATGAGAGAGTTTGGTCCCTGCTGCTTTCACTCCCTGCAGAATCCAGAGCAGGAATAATTCTCAACACACCAGGACACATTTTCCCCAAGAGCCTCTCCTTCCATGGATAACGCAGGCACTGGGAGTGGTACTTCTGTTGTGCGAATGAGCTTCTAAACACCTTTCCTTTCTGCTCGGTGGCTCAGCTATCCCCATCCTCATTGTGTCTGAATCCAACGGTGGGAAAACCTGGGGAGAGGTTGACTCTGCTTCAACCATGGCTGGTTTCCTGTAGGTGGGAAAAGCAGCCCAGGTGAGCTGCTTTGGTGTCCGTACAGCATCTTCTTTTGAGGCAAGATTGACATTGGGACACAGAAGAAAGTGTGTGAGCAGGAATTCAAGATTCAACCCTTTGAGGAGATCTCAGAAATAGCAAACCGAGTGGACAACCATTTTTAACCATCAACAACCTAGACCTTTCTATTCTTCTTCTCTGACCTTCTCTCAAGCTGAGTTTTGATTAGCAAATTTGATCAAATTGGCCCTTCAGAGCAGCACTCCAAATCAAAGCTGGATGCAGGAAACATATGGAGATATATTTTTTGTTACCTGGAAGGCAAGGGAGATGAGGAGATTCAAGACTGGTCAATCCAGGTACATCTTCACTCAGTATAACTGAATTATGATATATATATATTAAAGGTTATTCATTTCCATTGTTGTATTGGCTTTTGACCATGGTAGCAAGAAGCTCCAGAGGTGATATAGGCTATATGAGTATAAAATTCAAGGCTGCTTTTAGGCTTGTCAGAGAAAATTTGGAAGATGACCCCTCTTCCTCACTGTAAACCTCAGTCTTCCAAGTAAAAGCCAGATCTTCTAAAAAAAAAACATCTCTACAACTGAGGCCACCTTCTCCCAACATATTTTCATACATCACTTATCTTCTGGAGTCCTGAAAGACAGTAGAAGCTTATTATCTCCCTTAAAACTGTATTAATCTCAGGTAGTATCAAATGTTGACCTAGTTCTCAAGGAAGTTGGACCTTCATATGAGTGAGGTGGGACAACATTGTACAAATACTTTTAGGGTTCTCCAGAGCGAGGATGGACAGGCCTGTTCTGGGTTGAAGCTCAGAGCAAGTCAAGAATTTTCTTAGGTCTCTGTTGAAGGTTCACAAGATGTCCAAAGGCATAATATGGATGGATTGTGCTCCACGTTGACTGAGATAATCGATGGTCCTTCCTGAGGACCTAAGAAGGCAAAGAACTCAAGTAAAGGAAGCGTGGCAGCCTTTGATTCACAACTGTCCCTTCTTCATGCTGCTCTCAGCTTCAACAACCTGCTTTAAAAGAATCCAAGGCATTGGACAGTGTAGGAAATGCATAAATAGTCTTTAACTTGGGAGTCTTTAACTTGGAGGAACTTCACGGCCTTCTCAGTTGCATTTGGCGTTGGTGATTGGTGCTTTTTGGAAGAAGAACAGTTGCCAGCGAAAGGAGTAGGAGCCATTGGAAAAACACCCTGCAGGTAATTCAAGCTCAAAGTACCTCAAGAAATCCATTCTTCTTTGTGTGGAAGAGATCACTGACATTTCTTCTCCACAATTCCAGCCTGAATCCTCCAATAATTACTGTGTTATTTTTCCATCCATTTTTCAGGGTTCGTTGCCACTCACTCCTTCCTTCACAAGTATTTTTTCTCTCCCTTCCCAGCTGTCGATTTTCTCCCTCATGGATTCCCACAACCAAACACAGGGGATGGAATTTGTCTTCCTGGCATTCTCCATATTCCAGAGACACCACATCCATTTTTTCTTGGTGTTCCTGGCTGCCTATTTGGTCACCCTGCTGGGCAACTTCATGATCATAACCTTAATTCTCCTGGATTCCCGTCTCCACACCCCCATGTACTTCTTCCTCAGCCAACTCTCCTGTATAGACATTTGCCTTTCTTCTGTGGTGGTACCAAAGATCCTGGTGAACCTTCTGCGCCAGCAGCACACCACTTCCTACCACCAATGCCTGGCACAAGCCTTCTTCCTGATTGGGTTTGGGGGATGTGAGCCAGCACTGCTGGCTATCATGGCTTATGACCGCTATGCTGCCATCTGCCAACCTTTGCACTATGCCCACCTGATGAGGGGCGAGCTGTGCGTCCAGCTGTCTGTGGCCATTTGGCTCTGGGGCTTCCTGGACTCAGCTATCTATGCTGCTCTGGCCTCCAGGTTGGATTTCTGTGGAAACCACCAGATTCTTCACATCTGGTGTGATATTCCTCCGCTACTGAAAATTGCCTGCAGCGATACCCAGGTCAATAAATTGGTCAATCGCATCACCAGCTTCTTGGTTGGCCTTACTCCCTTCCTCTTCATCATCCTGTCCTATTTCTGTATTTTAGCCTCCATTCTCCGGATTCCCTCCAACACTGGCAGACGCAAAGCCTTCTCCACTTGCGCATCACACATCGCTGTGGTAACTCTTTATATCGGAAATGGGTTTCTGAACTACAACAAGCCAAGTTCTGGCTACTCCCTAGAAAGCGAAGCCCTGATTTCTATCATGTTTTGTGTTGTCACCCCCATGCTGAACCCCTTAATCTACAGCCTCCGCAACAAGGAGGTGAAGGAAGCTAGGAGGAAGCTTTTCAACAGCTGGAGAGCAGCGTCCTCTTCATTTTGAGGCGCCTTTCTGTTTAAACCTCACAAGGAAAATGAAACTGGTCCACGAGTACTTGGGAGAGAGGCTTTCTACAGAGGCCTGCAAACCTTGCCTTGGAGAAAGCAACAGGGGAGTTTCGTAAGACCATGAGTAGCTGGGCATTGCAGACAATTCAAGCCGTGGATTTCGTCACTCCAGGTTTTATCATGATCAGTCGAGTACCTTGTGGAACCTGCAAACCAATGTAATTCTCTAATCCTAGAATCCTCCAATGAGCAGGGACACACAGCTTTGGACTGTGTAGGTAAAACAACATGGCTTGTAAATATTTCCATAGTCACATTTGCATTGACCCAGAAGCAACCTCTATCAAAGATAGAATTCAGATTAGGAACAGATAAACAATTCTATTGATCAAGTGACAAGGTATGGAACGAAGGGAAGCCCAGAAGGCTAACCAGGATGGAAATATGTCAGAGATCTCATGAATGGTTGAAGTGTGAGGGAGTTCAGTCTAACCTCCTCTCATTAACTGCTTTTAACTTTTGTTGTATTGTTTCCTATTAGCTTTCTTTGTGTGTGTGTGTGTTTCTTTGACTGGATTTTTTTTTTAACGTCACAAACAACAGATCATTTGAACAGAAATTGCAGCAGAGAATAAGGATACAGGAAGCCAAGCAGACGATAAACAGCTGCTTATACGTCACAAGCCACTATTTCACAGGGATCATGTTCTTCCTGTCATTTACACCAAAGACAGATTTCTTACCTGTCTCTCTTTTCAGGATTCAGGACAGTTGAATCCTTGAAAGAAAGAAAAACACTAAAAGTCTGGAGACACCGAACAAAAAGTTGCTATTCTTTAGTTAGGTTGTATACCATTTTCCCAACAGTTCTGGTGAATGGCGAAAACAGCCTCAGAGATCTGAAGAAATGCAGTATAATAAAAAAAAAGTAGAGAACTTTGCTTTGAGATTCATGTTATCTCTAAGGAATATATAACTATTCTAGTTAGAGCTTTGCTTTAATTTATTACGTTTCTCTGTGTTAACACCCCCACGCACCAATTCCTTTTCCTTTGCATATGCAGTACATTCTGTACAATTCCAGAGTTATGCAGTAAATTTGATTTAAAGATTTAAAAAATAATCACAAGCCAAAATATCATAGAAAAAAAATTACAGGGCCTTCTCCCCTTGCATTTATTTTCCTAGCTGTAGCCCACAACCTAAATAATTGTAACATCCTTTGCACATTAATTGTGGAGATGATTATTAGCATCTAATTAGCCTTTTTTTGTTGTTTGGTCCCTTAACTCTTCCTAAGAACTGATTTCTAACTGTTTGGATTTTCTGTGTTGTGTAACGTGTCCTGTATAAGCCCCTCCTACTTGAATTTTGTTAGTCTTTATTGCTGGCCTAAACAGTTCTTGAATTTTGGAGGCCCAATAATACTCTTATCATCAGAACAAATTCACCTGTCCAATCTTGTGCCAAATGCATTCCTCTGGCCATCAACATTACATTGTAATATCTTTATGTTTTCTGTGGTTATTCATAATAACAATATTTGTGACATTTGTTCAAGTTCCGTGTTGACAATTTTATGAAGGTTTTGATGCATTTCTTTCCAATAATTTGAATTTTTTTTCTTTCCCCTCGCTTGTGGTCAAACACTCTTTCTTTGCTGCAGCAAGTGTCGTCTTTCCAGATTCTCACGTGCATGCACCCCAAGTTTCCCACCAGTCTCTTCCCTGCCTTAGGGATGGAGTCACCAGATGTGGCAGGCTGGACAGGCTGGGCCATTTCTCCACCTCAACCAAGTGTGTCCCTCTCCATCACCTGAAGATGGTGTTTGATTTTGTTGTATGAGGTGAAATGACCAAACCAAACCAAACCAAACCAAGCCACAGAACACAGAACACAGAATGTAGAACATAGAACATAGAACATAGAACAAGAGAGTTGCAAGGAGCTTTGGAAGTTTCTGATCCAACCTTCTGCTCATGCAGGAGACCCTATACAGGGGGTGTCAAACTCGCGGCCCGCAAGCCGGATGCGTCTTGTGCTAGCCCCGTCCCCACCCAGCTTAGCAAAGGGAAAAAGTCCAGATACGTCATGTGATGACGCTGTGACGACACAAGTTTGACATCCCTGCCCTGTACCATTTCAGACAAATGGTTGACCTGCCTCTTTTTGAAAGCCTCCAGTGATGGAGCAGCCACAACTTCTGAAGGCAAGCTATTGCACTCTAACCATCGGGACATTTCTCCTTAGTCCCAGGTTGCTTTTCTCCTTCGTTAATTTCCATCCATTGTTCCTTGTCTTGACTTTTGGTGCTTTGGAAAATTGTTTGACCCCCTCTCTCATTTTTTGAGGAGCCCCTCAAATATTGGAGGACTGCCATCTCATCTCCCCAGTCCTTCTTTTCATTAGACTGAACATACACCAATTCTTACAACCATTCTTCATTTGCCTTAGCTTTTAGCTCCCTAATCATGATCTAGATGAGGGGATAGAAGGAGAACTCATCAAATTTGCAGGTGACACAAAACTGGGGTGGGGTGCGGGGAATAATCAACACTTTAGAATATAGGCTGAAGATCTAGAAATATTTTGACAGGTCCTGGGAAAGATAATCAAAATTGTCTTTGGACACCCAGAATCAAGCAAAGCTATTACTAGAAGCTAACATGGATTTGTCAAAAAACTAATCATGCCAGACAAACTGTATTGCATTCTTTGACAAAGTGACTAAATTAGTGGACCAGTGAAACGCTGTAGACTTTGTACACTTGGACTTTGGGAAGGCGTTTGACAGAATAGACCACAACCTTCTTCTTGGTAAAATAGAAAAAGGTAGGATAGATACCATCACCATCAGATGGATTCATAACTGGCTGACCAACCGCACTCAATGTGTAGTCCTCAATGGAGCTGTGTCTATATGGTGCTAAATATGTAGTGGAATGCCTTAAGAGTCTGTCTTAGGCCCAGTACTCTTCAATATCTTCATCAATGATTTTGACAAGGCGATGGAAGAGGAACTGATCAAATTTGCAGATGACACCAAACTAAGGAGAATAGCCAGCAGTTTAGAAGAAAGGCTCATAATCCAGAAGGATCTTGACAGACTTGAACAATGGCTAAATTCAACAAAATGTAGCTCAGTGGTGAGAAAACTTAGGGTTAGGCAGAAAAACACAAATGCCCAGGTACAGACTAGATGGTACCTGGTTCAATACAGTAGCAACTGTGAGCGGAATCTATGAGTCCACTTCAATATGAGACAGCCCTGTGCCACAGCTGCCAAAAAAGCCAACTTAGTCCCAGGCTGCATCCACAGAAGGGTAGAATCAAGATCACCTGTGATATAAAGTGTTAACATCACTTTATATCACACTCGTGAGGCCACAGTTGAAATACCACATCCAGTTCCGGTCTCTGTGATACTAAAACGATGTTGAGACCCTTGAATGTGTGCAGAGAAAAGCAACAAAAATGACTAAGGCAGTGGTGGGATTCAATTTTTTTTTACTACCGGTTCTGTGGACGTGGCTTGGTGGACGTGGCAGGGGAAGGATACTTCAAAATCCCCATTCCCTCCCCACCCACTAACCCGTTTTCCAGCTCTGTTCTCCTGTGCAGGGCAACGAAAGAAGACCCAGCCGATCAGCTGTGGGCGTGGCTTGAGTGTGGCATTCTATGGGTGTGGCTTGGTGGGCGTGGCTTGGTGGGCATGGCAGGGGAAGGATACTGCAAAATCCCCCTTCCCTCCCCACCCACTAACCCGTTTTCCAGCTCTGTTCTCCTGTGCAGGGCAACCAAGGAAGACCCAGCCGATCAGCTGTGGGCGTGGCTTGAGTGTGGCATTCTATGGGTGTGGCTTGGTGGGTGTGGCTTGGTGGGCATGGCGGGAGAAGGTTACTGCAAAATCCCCCTTCCCTCCCCACCCACTAACCCGTTTTCCAGCTCTGTTCTCCTGTACAGGGCAACGAAAGAAGACCCAGTCGATCAGCTGGGACTCAGTGGAAGGCAGAGAATAGATGTGGGTGGGGCCAGTCAGAGGTGGGATTGACTGAACTTCTCAAAATTTCTGCTACCAGTTCTGCAGAACTGGTCAGAAGCAGCTGAATACCACCTCTGGAGACTAAGGGTCTGGAGACTAAAGGGTGAGATGAATGGTTGAGGGAACTAGACTTTTGAAGAGAAGAACAAGGGGTGACATGATAGCAGTCTTCCAATATTTGAGGGGCTGTCACAAAGAAGAGAGGGTTGACTTATTTTCCAAATCACCTTGAGAGCAGGACAAGAAATAATGGGTGGAAAATTATCAAAGAGTGAGATCCAACTGGCCCTCCCTGATGTCCCATGCAGAATTCACATACGATGCAGTCCATAAATTGGCACGACCCCACCCTCCTTCAAACGCTGAAGGGCAGGCCCCCAAGGGCTTTACATGAGTAAGAGAGTCCCAGAAGGCCTCGGTCGCAGGGGCAGTGGATTATTTTGCAAGAGCAGCTGGCGGCACAGAGACTCTTAAAGCAGCAACTAAATGGAGCTAAACTGCAGCGGTACATCAACACTCCTCCTTAATTGGTTCCGGGAGGCACAATGAGTATCAAAAATGATGAATACCAAATGAATTTGTCCCCATAAGGGATAAAGTGGAGAGTCACAAGGCAACTGACACTGACGTGTTCTAGCTTGTGCGTTGAGGAGTACTGGGATATCAATGAGGAGTACTGGGACGAAAGGTTCATGTCAAAATGTGTTGAGTACCAAATTCGATGAGTTGCAAAGCAGTTGAGTACCAAGGTACCCCTGTATCTTACAAGAGACCTGCAGGTTTCCATCGATAGCAAAGGACGCCAATGGCTGAAGAGAACAATGGGTGGTTGTCTACCAATTTCCTGGTTTCTACTAGACCCTCTAAGAAGCTTCATGCAAAGTTTGTGGGAAATTTAATGCTCCTGGAAGAGATGAACGCGGCGGCCTTTTCGATGCAATTGCCACCTTCCGGGATGGGTCCTCCCAGTTTGTCATCGATCATTACTGGTCCGAGAAGCCCCTTCCAGCCCTTTAGGCTCACAGAACCCACAAGACGTCAAACAATCCCTCTGGCTCTGCCAAAAACAAACGGAGCTACTCGTGCTAAGACGGAATTTATTTGGCCTTCTGGCCCATCAGGGTGAGCAAAACCAGACCCAAGAAATTACAGAAAATTACAGCCATTAAGCGAAGGGACGCAGAGCAGAGGTTGTGGGAAGGCTTCCTTGATTCTCCAGGCTTCCCCAGGCACTTCTGCCCCTCCAGAGCAGGGGGAGGAGCGACTTCCCCTAGAATCTGCACTTGCAGAGGAACGCACGTGTGGACGCACAGTTCTCATCGTTCCAGTTCTTATAACCTGGGCAGAGAAAAGAAACATTTTTCAGGGGTTCCCTAGGAGAGCATTTTCATGGCCCTTCTCTCCTTTGCAGGGGGACCTGGAGGCACCACGGGTGAAGAACCTCGCTGGTTAAAATGGGCTTGTGGTTCAGTGGATTGGTGTAACCAAGATAGATTACTGAGCCAACAAACCAGGATACAGCCACCAGGCTCTGCAAAGGGCCTGAGATTTGGGTCCCTCTCTTCGGCAGGTCAAAACTGGATAGACCAGCATTGATTTCACTGTCCTGACTGTTACATGGAGCCTTTTCCCCTCATGCGCTAAGGACATCCCTGGATGATGGGTATGGGAACCACTATACTGGCTGGCAAAGAGGCCCCTCAGTTAGACATCGTAGTTTGCACAGAAGGGTGTGAGCATGCTGTGTTTTCACTTGTGGCAGCCTGGCCAAATTTGTATCATTGCTGACCAGCACTATCTGACCCTCAGCATGGAACTCCGCATGTACCATGGATGGACTGAGGCTGGTAGCCTCACCTGCACCTCCTCTCCTTCACTGCAAAGTAGGCTGGGAAAATGATGTTTAGATATTTCCGCAGAGCGCAAGGTCAGTATAACATCTGGAAGGTTTAACTAGCTGAACAACCATAAGACTTGCTCTAAAATGCCCTGATATGTAGAGCGTTCCCTTGAATGAAATGCAACATTAAAGCATTTAAAAGGGGCAGCAACATGGAACCTGGAGTACCAGTTTGACCTGGGCTAAGCCTTGTTGGGCTTTGTACTCTCTGGGCCACCCTAGAGTTGTGAGAACAATCAACCCATGGAACGGAAGTTGCCTTCAGAAGTTGTGGGAGTTTGATCAATGGAGGCTTCCAAAAAGAGATTGGACTGCCATCTGTCAGAAATGGTGTAGGATCTCCTGCTTGGGCTGAGGGTTGGACTAGATGACCCACAAGATCCCTTCCAACTCAGTTAATCTGTATTCTGCAGACTTGACTCCTCAACCATGTTCAACACAACACTCTCAGCCAAGCCAACTGCCCGTCTTGTAACTATGTTCTCAAGAAATACAAAGCTTTGCTGTTCTATCAACAACCTTTCAAATCGATTACGGGGAACACACCCCAGAGATCCTCACAGCTAGAAAAGTGCATTGTGAGTGCCCCGTTGTGCTTTTTTCTTCCTATCTTAAGGCAACGGAGACTGGCAATTGGGTAGACCAGTGGTTGCCTCTAAACCAGCCGAGGTCTCTTCCTTCAAGAGGAAGGAGAAATAACTGGTGGAGAAGAAGGCTCCTGCCCTGGAAAGGAGAAGGGAAATTGGGAGAGAAGGAGTGGGCTCTGTGTCATTTGGGGAAACGGAGGGGGTTGGCCTCAACTGTGTGTTCCTGTGACAGAGATTTCATAAATAGCCGTTGGGGCCATTATGTGAGAGGAGCCCCAATGTGCCACCTTAGTTTCAAAAAATATCTGCCGGTGGATCAAGCCCGCTGGCATCCAGCATAAACTGCTGTGATTAAAAACAAAACAATGAAAGAGATTTTGATGCAAGGCCCTGCCTTTCTCCTGGCCTCCTGACCTCAAGAGTTAATAAATATATGATGTGGTTTGTGGTGTTGGCTTTGCATCCTGTTAACAGGGGCTGGGTGAGACGCCAGATCTCAACTTGCATGAGGTTGGAGGGGTGTTTGAGGTCCGGAGGAGACGGTTCTTCCTTCTGCAGAGCTCAGACCAGCCTGCAGGAAAATCCTGATTCTATATTTTTCATTCTGTTAATGATCCCTTGTTTATTCAGTTTTAGGGTTGTGATTGAGATTGATTTTGTAATGAACCTATGCAGGTGCTAATTTTTCTCTTGTTTACGGTTACCAAAGAGTAAGTGTTCCAAGGAAGGCCCTCACTCTTGGAAATGCATCCTTGGCTTCCTTCCCTCCACTTCGGCTTACCTGATCGGCTCCAAAGTTCAACGCAGTTTTCATTGTTCCTAAGGTTGTTGGGCTCTCCTGGTTGCCACGTCAGGTAGCTGTTTCTGGACCTGTCTGTCCACTGCCAACATCGTTGCTGTAATGACAGTGAAGCCACCTTAATTAACTGAGAAATGGACTTTGATGCTGCAGGACTCAGGGAGAGTCAGGAAGGATTGGCAAGGATCAGACCAACTCTCCTCCCTCTCTCTCTCATACATATACACACATACTCACACACACACAGAAACACACAGAGGCAGGGATGGGACTCAAATTTCTTAACAACCGGTTCTTGGGCATGGCCTAATCTGAGGGTGTGGCTTGGTAGTCATGTGACTGGCTGGGCATTGCTTGTATGTAAATATTATAAATATTTATGTAAATATTGAATTTTTTTATAAAAAAGAGCAACTTTTACCCAAAATCAGGTGCAGTCAAGCAGATTGAGTTGCTCACAGAATCACAGATTCATTCAGAGATCTATCTATCTGCCATTGGCTAGCTCAGTCTGTCACATAAAATTTGCTTGCAAGCACTCTCACAAAATCAACTCACAACATACCGTGCATGTAAATATCGATTTTTTTATTTAAAAAAAAGAGCAACTTTTACCCAAAATCAGGCAAAACAGGCAGGCACACTGAGTTGCTCACAGAATCATTCAGGGATCTATCTATCTGCCATCGGCTCGCTCAGCCTGTCACATAAAATTTGCTTGCCATGAGTCGGCACTGAATAATAGAACCTTCAGTCCTAAGGGAGGTTCGGTGGTGCTTAAAAGCAGAGCAGAAGATCTGAAGACTAGCTAGAAAGCAAGAAAGCCAACCATTTCCTGCTTCCGAGCTAATCTAAATCTGGCACAGCAGAACAGCTGATGGTCGGAAAAAGGAAAAATAGCAACCTAACAGGCAAGTTTGCCAGGTAAGGAATGAGTGGGTGGGGAGGGTTCCTGCGGGCTGTGTGGGCTGAGCAGCCTTGTGTTTCTATGCAGCCCGGATTAATTGCTTTGGGCGGGGGGTGCTCTGGGGGTGAGATTTCTCTGAGGCCCTGCAAAGAGCAACTTTTACCCCAAAGCAGGCAAAGCAGGCAGGCAGATTGAGTTGCTCACAGAATCACCGATTCATTCAGAGATCTATCTATCTGCAATTGGCTATCTGAGACTGCACTGAAAAATAGAAGCTTCAGTCGTAAGGAAGGTTCAGCTCTGCTTTTAAGTTAGCTAGAAAGCAATAGATCAGCAGAACAGCTGATGGTCGGGGAAGAAAAAGGAAAAATAGCAACCTAACAGGCAAGTTTGTCAGGTAAGGAGTGACTGGGCGGGGAGGGTTCCCGTGGGCCGTGTGGGTGGCGCAGCCTTGTGTTCCTGTGCAGCCTGGATTAATTGCTTTGGGGGTGGTCTGGGGGTGACATTTCTCTGCGGACCACCAAAATTTTCTTCCGGACCACCAATGGGCCACAGACCACCAGTTAGCGACCACTGATCTGGATAATTGTTTGACCTTGACTTTATCTTAGTAGATGTGGATGCTGGGAAATATTTAATAAGCTTTTTAAAAATTCAGAAGGCAAATTAAATTGAACACTAAAACTCAATGGGAACTATATACTGAAAAGTGGATTTCAAAGACTTGACGGGACAAAAGAAGGAAAGATGAATAAGACTTTAAAATCTGGACAATTGGGGAGGTGTAAATTGGAAACTATAAAAACTGAAAAGCATAATCTAATAGAAAATTTGGGGGCTTGGTGGAATAACTTTGGGATTGACCAAATTTGATTAACAAGTGATGTTTTCTGGAGTCTTCAGTTATTCGGATATTGGGACATTAGAGGGATATTAACTGGTTACAAAATGACCCAGCAGGAGATAATAAAGTCATAATAAAGAAATGCTAGAAATAATGACAAAGAAGAATGCCCTCAACTTTTAAGGTATTGAAGATTTAAGAGCTGACCAGCTGTTGTAAGGCTGTTGTGATAATTCTGATGCAATGAGAATGAGTCGGCAGGGATATTGCCGCTTTAAGACTGAGGATGGGTGCACAAGGTTGTTGACCTTTTAAGAAGCTGTCTATATAAAGGAGGCCATGAGAGGGCGTATCTCTCTCCTGCTGTTCTGTCTCCTTTGTAGCGCTCTGTGCAGAGTAATGAAGACTGATTGCTTGCCTATCACATATATATATATAGCTGTCTTGCCTATAAACCACTGTTAAAAGACAAAGCATTCTCTGTGCTGTGGTGTGCTCAACAAATGGTGGTAAAAGATGAATGTAATATACAGAAGACAGAGGAGAAATTAGAAAGAGCGCTGGAAGGAACAAAGCAAAATAAAATAAAACATAACGTAAAAATAAGTTAAAAACAGATAAAAATGCTGAAAAGGCAGCAATAATGAATGCTAAAAATCAAACACTCTAAGAGCTTATAACAGAATAGAGAGGGGGGAAAGGAAGATCTTTAAAAAAATGAAAAGGACATGGGTGGATATTCAAAAGATGCAGCAGAAGAAGATAGAGAGAAACATAAAAGAATCCCTTAAAAAAATTAATATATGATGAAATCCTAAAAAGACTGAGAGATGATGGATAGAGGTGTAAGTTTTTCCAATATAGTAACAATAGAAATAAGTGGAAAGTTTAAACTAGGAAAATAGTTGTAGACAGATGCGTGTAAAAGCACACCAACATGCCTACCGTCCCTGTCCTATCGTTTCTTTTATTTTTTTTCTATTTTTCTTATATGTATCCATGTATTCATAACTATGTTTTTACTTATACCTATTTTCTTGTAAGCAACTGACAAACCAACTAAATAAATAAAATAAAATAAATAAATAGATATATAGATATAGATATAATGGAATTTATTATAAATACATATACATTTAGATTAGGAGATGAAAGACCAGGGTGGGTATATTTAAAGGTATTATTATGACCAACAGGATGTAAAAAATATACTGGAAAATATAGTTTTCAGGGACTATAAATTCAGGGGATTTAGAGATATAATCCTGGGACTGATTAAGTCTTACTGACATCTGGTTTTATCGGTGTTTACAGAAAGCTGAAATTTTGAAAACGTAGTGAAACACCGAGTGATAAATTGGGAAAATAGTATAATATCAATTGATACACAAAAGAATATATTATAATTATAACGAGCACATTAAGGCTAGAAGTTGAAAGAAGAAAATTCTGTATATGTAATTGTATTATATTACTGTGAGCACTGTGTGAAAAATACGTCAACCCAGTCATTACGCTGTCCACACAAAAATGTTAATTGCTAAAAAAAAACCGTAAATAAAACATATACAAAAAAAGAAAAAAGAAACAGTAGAAATGAAATGACGAACATTAGCAATAGGAAGGGACCTACTTTCCGTGGGTCATTCAGTCCAATCCAGACATTTCCACCACTCCTGAGATAGTCGGAGACGTATTCGGCCAAGTCAGTTGACTCGTCACTGTCATCGATAGAGGCGAGGTGGCAGCCTGGCTTGTATTTCCTGCAGAAGGTCTGGGATGGAGCCACAAGGGAGAAAGGCACTTGTTAGGGAGACAAGCAAATGTGCTTGCGTGTGTGAAAGTGGGAAAAGAGCCAGGGAATCTGATTGCATGGTCCTAGACACCATCCTGACTGCGTTGACTCCCCTCAGGTGCCCTTTCTAGATTCTGCAGCTCTTGAACAATTCTAGATCCAGGAGATAAACTCTTGGATTCCCATCACTTGAGACAAGGAGGCCTGAAGATGCCACCAGAGCTGCCAGTGAGACATCAGGAAATCTGTTGTCTAGATCATGGTCACTCCACCCGGAGGCTCAGCACTGCCCAACAGATACCAGCCATGAAAGCCCAAACCAGTATACAGTCCAGAGTATACTTGCATCTCAAATTGCCCTAAGATAATGGTCCTTGCTACCTTGTTTCCCTGAAAATAAGACCTAGCATGGTTTTATGTGGGCACCTAATATAAGCCCTACCCTCCCCCCAAAAAGCCCTACTTAGGAGCCTGTGCAGCCGGCCACTTGCCTATTCCGTCTGGTTGCTTGCTTGCGATGCCGCAGCCACGAGGCAGAGTGTTAGTGGAGCTGCCCCACATACCCCACACTAACTTATCTCAGGACCCCCCACAGCCAGGCCATGCGCACCCTGATACTTGCACCAGCAACTATGTGCGGCAGGAGTTTATGTGTCCATCGGTCCACTTCTTTAGCTTGCTCATGGCTTCAATGGAGACGGAGCAGTGTGCTGTTGCTGGTGCCACAGTTGTGAAGTGAGACAGGTGTCTGGGTATGGAAGGCCTGGCTGTGGGGGCCCTGATGTAAACCATTATGGGCACATGGGACAACTCCACCTGCCCCGCCTCATGGCCACTGCACTGGCACTGGTGCATGGCTTGGTCTCCATTGCAACTTCGAGCAAGCAGAAGAAGCGGGCCGGCAGCCACGCAAGGTCCTGCTTTACAAGGCTGCTGCTGCCATGGCCACAAGGTAAGGCAGGTGTGGGTGGCCTGGCTGCAGGGGCCCTGAGGTAAGCTGGTGCTGGGGGGGTGGGGTAGCTCCATTCCCTTACCTCATGGCAGTGGCACGAGCACACCAGGTGGCCTCCTGCCCCTCCACAAACAAGCAGAAATATTCTTCCCTTACATGGGAAAATAATAGGACACCCCCTGAAAATAAGCCCTAGTGCCTATTTTGGGAACCAAAGGAAAATAAGACACGGTCTTATTTTGGGGGAAACACGATACCTTGACATGCACCCAGCCTAGTGGCCCTGCACTTCAGCCCACCCAGAGGAACTTGTGGGGTGAGGTCTTCAAGGCTCTGCCTAGACTTCTCCTCTGCCTGAACTAGGAGATTCACAGACACACAGCACTTCTAACCTCAGCATCGTTCCAGTTCTTGTGATCATTGAAGACCTTGTAGCAAAACCCATTCTTAGGGAACCAATCTTGGGGACAACAGGAGCTGTTGGCTTCTGTGTGGGAAGAGAAGAAGCTCAGTGAGAAGGTGGCCAGGAGGAGGAAGAGGAGGAGGAGGAGACACAGCCGGGCCCACAGAACATTCTGAACCTGCTGAGTTGCAAACATCTTTGAGGACAACAAAAATTGAAACAGACTTGCAGCTGCATTTGCAGAAAGTCCAAATCTTGGTTAGGATTAGCCTTGCTTAGTTTCCTGGAAGCTGCCTGCCTGGTGTGAATCAATCCACTTGGGTTGGTCCCAAGTCTTGGAGCAGAGGGAGAGAGAGACCAGGTGGGGTCTAAATTGCACAAGACGCCAAACAGGGATAAAAGCAACTTCGGGGAGAGGATGCCAGGAGGGTCAATCAGGAAGGGGGTCAGAGGGGAAGAACTGGCCTCTCTGGACACATTAGAGACCCTCTTCAAACTCACCATTTAGGGAGAAAGCCCCGATCAGCAAGCTGAGGGTCACCAAGAGGAATCGTCCCATGGTCTTCCTTCCTTCTCTGCAGAGAGAATCGTGGAGGGGGGAAGAGGAGAGTGAGGTGGGTGGGAGGTGCAGCCTGTAACCAATTCTGGGGGACACTGGACCCCGTTTCTCCCTCCTCAGTCATCCAGCAGCCTTGGGGGCTCACGGTCGATCCTGCCTTGCCTGGAAAGGCTCACCTGGGCATCTCTTTCTCCGCCCCAGAGACCCCTGACTCCCTGCCTCCTGGAGACCCGCCTGCTGCAACCAGGACAGCCCCTGCAGACCCCCTGCAAGAGGTCCCTTCAGGTGGAGAGAGAGAGAGAGAGAGAGGGAGGCGCAGGAGGATCTGCTGCAGGGGCCTCACCTGTCGGGTGTGCACAGGTGGGAGAGCCACACTCACCTGTCCTTTTGCCTCTACGTGTAGCAAGTCTGCTCAGTGGCTACTCCAGGCTTCCCTCCAGCAAAGAGAGTGAAGGCATTTATAGGCAAGAGAAGAAACAGGGTGGGTCTTTTTAGGGGGTCAAAGGAGAAGGGAAATGGCTTTGCTACACAAGGGATTCCCCCCACCCCCCCACCCCCAGGAAGTAGCTTGTTTGCCCTACAGATAAAAATTCCAGAATTGATTTCCTGGCAATGACTTGGCCTATTAATTTTATTGAAAGCTTTCATAGAGCTGCCCACTTTGTGATTAATTCTCAGTCCAAAGTAAGACGTCAGACACACCTCTTTGAACACATGAAACATTAACAACTGGGCACCGAAGTGAACTTCCTCTTGCAGCCCCTCCTTAAATCCACTTGCCCACCCTATCCTAGCCCACCACTTGGCCAAAAAACAGGTCTTGCGTTTTTCTGGTGGTTAGGAAGGCAGGAGGCCGACAAGGGGAAGGGGTGCTCCAAAAAATGTAAGGATGGCGCTTGCTGATCTTTGGCCCAAGGCAGCCACATATTCTCCATGCGCTTTTCTTGAACGATTGGCCTGAATGACCACCCCCAGGCGTCTCTCTTTCCCTTTCAAAAAAATTGGGACAACTACCAAGCCCCAACCTTCTGGGACATGGCTGGCGGAGTCGATATAATCGAATAGCGCCACCAAAACTGGTATCCCCTGAGAGAAAAGAATTACAAGTTACTCTTTTATAATGGAATTTTTATGAAGTAGAAGATGCTTCTTTGCTCTTTCTGATGCTTTTCTGTTAGCTTCCTCTTCTTTTTTTTCTGCCTAAAACCCCTAAAACCTAAAATGTGTTCGGTACAAGTACATGATACATTATTATAAGCGACATCCTCCCAAGGTAAAGCCCAGCGGTGAAACAAGATAAGACCCTGAAACCCAGAAAACAACGTGGTGCTGATTCTCAAGCTTATAATCTCATTTGAGAATATCGAGAATAAGGGTGGGGGGGCTTTTGGGGGTGGCGTGTTCTGTGCAGGGGTATAAATGTATTGTTTGAATAGGAAAGCTTGCTCTTCTTGTACCCAATTGTCATGACCCTGGTGGAGACGGATTCTGAGCCATCAGAGAAGGACCCAGGCCCATCCTCCATCCATCACAGGGCACGCAGGGAGGAGAGGATCAGGGTAAAATGGGGTCTACTTGGGAGGAGAGGGCCATGATCCCCTTCATGGGTTGCAGGTGTGAGATCTGCATCAGAGTTTGGACTTGCGTGCCAACAGACGCTGGAGACAAATTAGTGTTTGATTCCTAAAGAAGGTTTATCTTGGTTGGCGTTCTTCCAACGGACTGTCCCTGGTTATCTTCCTGAGGTTGGCCATTATCTATCCTGGTTTGTCGAGGAACTTTATTCAATGCGGTTTGGTTTTGGTTTTGGTTTCATTATCGGCTCTTTGAATGTGAACTGTGTTTCTTGCCTTTGAAATGTTATTTTGAAAATAGTTTACTCCTCCACTGCGAACCATTAAACAGTGAAGCCAAGTTGAAGGCGTGAAAGGAGTTTTAGTTCCCTGTGGGGTGTTGTTCGATTTCTGATATACTCTGGGTCACCACACCAATCCACTCTGGAAGGGACCTGAAGGCCCATTTGCAAACGCTTATTTTCTTTAATAAACCTTCGAACTGTGAACCAGACTCGTTCCTGTCTTGTGAGCATTGAATATTTCGGTTCTTACATCTCACATCCGCCACTCCAAATTGCTCTTGAATAATCCCGCAGAAATGAATCCAGCTCCTGGAGCTTTTCCAGTCTTGAGTTGGCCAATGAGCGATTGGATCTCGCACTCTGAAATGGCGGGTGAGGGGCACTCTTATAAATCCTGCACTGTTTACCTTGCTAGCAGTTGCTAGTTCCTTCAGCCCAACCGTCCCAACGTGACTAGTTTTCTGCATTTGGCCAACATAAGTTCCTCTATTCTCACGGTCTCAATCCACCACATTGTTCCAGCGAAGTAGCTGGCCGGCCTGCAAAGGTACAATTTCCACATACTTATGGGCACAAGCTCCTCACTGGTGTTTTTTTGTGTGTGTACAATTTAATCCATGCTGATCTGTTTTTGCTCGGCTTGCAAACCCCAAACCCGGACCCTCACCAATGTTTACTTCTTGATTATAATACATGATATAATAGGAAGTGTAAAGAATGCCTCCACTGGTTATTCTTTTAAGCACAGGATGCAGGTCTATTCGTATGCTGGACCCAGCCCAGGTTCCCTGAGGTAACTGTATCTCAAGGAACCGGGTAGGGGTAGCATCAATAGCATAGCAGAAAGAGAGAAACTCCTTTTGATTGGCTTCCCACAACGATCATGGCCATTCGTTCAAGTTTGACTCTTGGCAATTCTCTGGGCCAGGAGTCTCCAACCTTGGCAACTTTAAGACTGGTGGACTTCAACTCCCAGAGTTCTTCAGCCAGTCCACAAGTTATCAGCTAAAAAACACTTCTTTGGTCTTTTTAGTTGTCAGCAGAAAGGGAGTAGAGGGGAAAGCAGTGCATTCCTGAAATGCTTCAGATAATCGCTAGGCAGACGAAGCTTCTGGTGTGCAAGATTATTACTGGAGATCACGATGGATGACTCTTGGCTAGGGATGTGTCCCATTGGAGAATATACATCCAGGGGGTGGGGGAAGACCAGGGTCAAGGGGGAAATGAGTGATGTGTCTCAGAGTCAGCTGCACCCAGCTAGCACCGGCATGTCAACTCCTAATAAATTGATTTTTTTTTCCACTCTGAGACATTCAACTAGAGACTTATGATTCGAATGGGGGTGGATTTGTCGGAGCCCTGACACAAGTCTTAAAGTTGCCAAGGTTGGAGACCCCTGCTCTGGCCCAGAGAACCTTCCAATCTCACACTTCTTCTTTGAGTTGTTCTGTGCTCTGGCCGGCGTCAGCTCTGGTGATGTCCAGCCTTTCAGTGCTTTGTTTTTTAAATTTTAATTTTTTACAGCAAACATAAAACAAAAAATGAAACCTTCTTTCAGTTACACAGCGTGTTGGTTGGAACATGTATCTTGTGCACAATATCTATAGTTTTTTCCTCTTCAATTTACATTCATATTACATTGATTAATTTTCCATATCATATAATATTATTATTAGGCCATCCTTAGACCTTAATTTCAATTCCATATTATCTTTTATAGCAAACCTCTCCCTCCTTCTCTTCTCCTCTCTCTTCCCTGCACTCTCCTTCCATTCCTTTTCTTCCAAGTCTCCCTCCTTCTCTCCTCTCCTCTCCTTTTTACTTTCTCCAGTAAATCCTACCACATGACCTGACCACAATAAGCGAGATGCAGCTGCGCTACCCCAAACGTCGGGTCCAGAAAAGGCAGACCGAAGTCCACCAGCGCCATAAGTCTGGTGAGCTGCACTGTCAGCCCAGAGGCCAGGCCAGGGTGGGATCCTGCGCCATTGTCCTGTAGAAGCAAGAGGGTTGTCTCCATCTTGTCTCCAAAGCACTCAGAGGCCAGCCCCATCAGCCATAAGGAGAGTTGCTGCAGGGGCACTCAAAGGACATCTATTCAGTCCCAGGTTTTAGAGCCTGGGGGCTGGTGAGTGCACTGTCTTAGGACCAATGGATTAGCCATTGGTTTGGAGAAGATGACCACTAAACAAAAGACAAAGAAGCATCTCATTTTTTGGTGCAAATCTGAAACTGGCCAATGGGTGCATACCACTTTCGGTATTCATTTTACATAAATTAACTTCGTCCTTTATGCCTACAGATTAGATTGTGGCACAAACGGTGTGAGTTTCCTCCGTCCGGGTTCAATTTATTGCTGAGAATGAGAAGTTTATTGACACACATTCGTTTTCAAATAAAGATAAAATAAAGATAAATGGTGACCGTTGGCACTCTTTAAACTCAGAAAGTTCCCTTGGATTAAGAAATCAAATAAGGAAAGAGGAAGGAGGAAGGAACAGAAAGCCAGAAGGGCTTCCCCTACATAGAGCAAAGTTGGCCCTAATGGGCTTTTTTCCCCAGCCGTGGGGATCTCCAGTCCTGGAAGAGATGAATAAGTAAAAACTTGGATCACAGACTTCCAGTAAGGTTGAAGCATAATTAATAAGTAAAAATCAACAATAGTTAAAACTGAATGAAAGGAATACACTCATCCCACATCTTGGGACATTTACATAAATCCTTAGTAAGGCCACACCTGGAATACTGCATCCAGTTTTGGTCACCACAATACAAAAACGACGTTGAGGGAAAATGCAAAGAAGAACAACTAAGATGATTAAGGGCCTGGAGACTAAAGCATCAAAAACAGTTGCAGGAACTGGGCATGGCTAGTCGAGAGAAAAGAAGGACCGGGGTGACATGATAGCCGTCTTCCAGTATTTGAGGGGCTGCCCCCCAAAAGAGGGGGGTCAAGCTGTCCTCCAAGGCACCTGAAGGGAGGACAAGAAACAATGGATGGAAATGAATCAAGGAGAGAAGCAACCTGGAATTGACAAGAAATGTCTTAACAGTGAGGACAATTAACCAGTGGAACTGCTTGCCACTAGAAGTTGTGAATGCTCCCACGCTGGAGGTTTTTAAGAAGAGACTGGACAGTCACTTGTCTGAAATGGTATAAGGTCACCTGTGTGAGCAAGGGGTTGGACTAAAAGACCATGGGGTGAAACCAGGCTCAATAGCAGTGACTGTGAGAGGGATCTTGGAGTCTTTGTGGACAACCAGCTAAATAGGAGCCAGCCGTGTGCAGCAGCAGCCGCCAAAAAAGCTAATGCAATCCTAAGTTGTATTAACAGAGGGATACAATCGAGATCAAGGGAGGTACTAATACCACTCTATAAAGCCTCAGTAAGACCACACCTAAAGTACTGCATCCAGTTTTGGTCACCACACTATAAAAAAGATGTTGAGACTCTAGAAAAAGTACAGAGAAGAGCAACCAGGATGATGAAGGGACTGGAGGCTAAAACCTACGATGAACAGTTGCAGGAACTGGGCCTGGCTAGTCTAGGGAAGAGAAGGACCAGGGGAGACAGGAGAGCATCTTCCAATATTTGAAGGGCTGCCCCCCAAAAGAGGGAGATCAAGC